GATTTAATGTTATCGGGATAGTGTTGTTTGTTTATATTTATTTATAACTTAAAACATGCACAAAATAAAAAAAAAATTATAATATTAGTCACACGTATTTACAATTTATAACTACAAATATCAGCACATGTACACACCTATTCATTCGAGAATCGTTGCACACATCTGAGGGTCTGACCCTGCCTATCCTTTTTAAGCGCTCGTCTTTGCTCTTTCCTTTCTCTTTCCTCTATCTCTCTAGTCCACGTATGCCTATGCATACATCATAATACGCGCTCACGATACTTTCGATTCTTCACTTTTCTGTCGTAGTTTTTCCATTTTATAATTACGTGACTCATAGCCTGGTGATAACGGAGAAAAGAGACAGATACGTCAGTATATGTCACAGTTATGATTTCACAGATTCCAGACAGCTTGATAGCCCGAACAGTCCCAGGCTTTCGCCCATGCATGCTAAATGACTTTCATTACAAGCATTTAGCTTTCCGAAGTCTATGACAACAATTGTTTGGCATTGACGGCTGCAAATTTCGCGCCAATAAGCTGCTTCGACTTGTTCGATTATGTTATCAACTCAATTTCATATTTATTTTCACATTTTCACTTCACGTCTTTCTCTGTTCTTTTTCCGTTATTTACACATGTAAATCATTTCATTGTTACTCACATTTGATATCATTTATCACATACTGCCATGACGCTCTTGTCTGTCCGCTACAACTGTCAAGAATTAACGCGATTGGTGAAGCATAGTGACAGCGGGCCAATGGAGAGCAGGGTCCTTGCAATAATGTGGTTTGCACGCCAATTTTTGTATGTGTGTTAATCAAGCTGAATAGTTTGGCTGAATATTCGGCTATTCGGCCACGCTCCTGGCCGAATATACTATTCGTTGCAACACTAGTATAAATCAATCTACATTTTAATTATTATTATTAAACACTCTTACTTGAGGACTTGTATCTTGAAAGACAATAAATTTCTGGTAATTTTACCTTTCTATATAATAACTTTCACAGAACTATTTAGAAGTAGACTGCTAATTTTGATGTTTGTTAGTTCTCTGCAGTGAATAAGAGTTAAGCAAATTACATCCAATGACATGGTTGGGTTTGAGAGTTGTCTATATGTAACTTTCTTAGTAAAATCAACAACAACATGAATGCAAATTATTTTAATTACATCTTATAAGAATCATCCATGCCATATTGTCACCTCAAACTCATCTTGATCCCAGGTGGCTTTTCAATCATCAAATATACCAAAAATAGACTATTACTGAGATGAAAATATTTAAATGGATAAAAATTTTAATGTTTATTTTAGCATTTATTATTATATACTTAACTATTATTATCTGATAAATAAAATAGAAAAGAAATGAAACAACAAAAAATTTATTAAGTGATCTTATGGCATATTACCAATATACTCAAATCAATAAAACATTTTATTTGCTGGTCATTTCATATTTTTAACACTTAATGCAGTTTATGTGATAATGACTCAAATATTGTTTTTCATTTTACTTCTTTTATAATTACATCTATAATAAATAGAAATAAATGGGAATAATGGAAAAAGCTAATGGAAATAAAATAAAAGAATGAGAGTAAAAATACAATATTTGAGATGATATCTTCTAAACTGTGTACAGTAATACCCTGAACTTACGCGATAGGTGGGACCGAGCAATAACTGTGGTGTAAGGAACCAAGTCCGAACGTTATTTTTATTTACTTTTATTTTGCTTATTATTCTATTTTTGTTTGGGGCTTATGTTTTGTTAGGACGAAGTTTCCTCACCATTCACCTTAGTAACTTAAAAATAGAAGAAAAACCAACTCACCAACGAAAGAAAAGCGCCGTAGAAAACTTCGCGCACACTTG